ACAATAAAAACACAAGTCGTAAAGAAGTAAAATTCCATTACAATGACTGAAAATTAAATACATATAATAACACAAGCACTTAAACTTAACTTCCACTTCAATTAAAATAAAAAGTACAACAAACAAGGAAAACATTACTACAGCACAAACACAAGCACAAACACAAACATAGCAGACCAACATAATAAAAATATATGAAATATGAAAAATACACTAAATACATACATGCCAATGTTTAGCCCCGGTTGCCATTTATTCTCCGCTCCAACCACTTAAATCGTTCTTGCAGTTGTTCTTTTTCTTCTTCTACCTCTTTCAGTTTCGCCTTCACCTCCGCAAGTTCCCGTTTATATTTTTTTTACGTTCCTTTTGTGCTTCACAATTCCATTGTGTTTTCCATTTTTCTTCTCCCACCTCCTTCAGATTCGCCCTCAAGTCTGCAATAATTCTATTGCTTTCTTTTTCATGTTCCCGTTGACTTAAACACACATTATGAAGATACTGCAGTTGTTCTCTGTAGCATTCCTGATAACATGGTTCATCAACCCATTCCTCAAAATCACAAATAGGTTCACCGGGAACCTTGTAAAACTGGTTCATACAGTGCCAGTAACGGCGTCCAAATTCACCACCGTCCCAACAATTTTTGCATCAAGCATGCTTTTCCACACATGCACTTTGGTGGACGAAGAGGTTGAGCCATTTGTGAAATATTTGCTTTTAGTAAAAATACCTTACTTTTAATGAAATGAAATATTTGCTTCTAGTAAATTTTGAGCACACAAAATAACTACAATGAGCCCCTTATTTATAGGCGAGACAACACACACATAACGTAGTATTTGACCGCGCTATGCCTTGCGTGTTAAATGTGATGATGGATACGAATCAACTTTATGTCACTTTGGTAGCCTTATCAGTTCGACAAGACAACACACAGTCATAGCGTACTATTTAACAGCGCTATATATACGCATAACGTAGTATTGGACCGCGCTATGCCTTGCGTGTTAAATGTGATGATGGATGCGAATCAACTTTATGTCACTTTGGCAGCCTTTTTAGTTCGACAAGACAACACACAGTCATAGCGTACTATTTCACCGCGCTATATATACGCATAACGTAGTATTTGACCGCGTTATGCCTTGTGTGTTAAATGTCATGATGGATATGAATCAACTTTATGTCACTTTGGCAGCCTTTTTCAGTTCTGATTCCATGATGAAACAACTTTATGTCAGTTGGGAAGCTTTATGTCATATCGACAAGACAAAACACAGTCATAAATTAATCAGATTTATGAAAGTTCAATGTTGTTTCTAGTTCTTCCGAATATATAAATATTTTTTATTATCGTTAAGAAACTGAAATGGAGAAATTCAACTAATAATTAACAAACATAATTTTATTACAAATATAAACAAAACAACTAAATCTTACAACACAAATCATAATTAACAAGCATAATTTTATTTCATAAATCTTGCAACATAGACATAACAACTAATTATTACAACATCAACTCATGGGTAGTTAGGTACACTGGAAGAACACCCACCCCGAGCTTGATTACTGGTGCCCCCAAAGGACATTTTCTACGGTCGTGTCCTGTTTGCGAGCATATACCACATTTGCGCGCATATACGGGATCGCTAACATCCATTTGGTTCCGTATACGCGTTTTCTTCTGCACCTGTATTTTACGCAAATAGGACTTGTTACACACCATTTTAAATGGTTCCGGAGGCCAATAATGCTCAACACCCACTGACTGCAACTGACCACTATATGTGTTTAGGAACTTGGAAACACTATATTGTTGATCAACATAGTTGGTTGCACCCAAACCAACTTGTTGAAAACACTTGATGGCATGTGAGCAAGGCATGTGGTAGATGGACCATTTTCCACAAGAGCATAACCTTCTAGATTCATTTACAGTATGTATATTATTACCTCGATTTTCATGGATAGCGGTGCGAACTTCAAAAATATTTCTTTCTTTATCATACTGCAAAAATGAATGCCAATGCACTCGCCGTCTGTATTTCTCAAATCTCTTCATAGGCACTGGAATAAATTCAACACCCCTTTCCATCAATGACGTTGCAGCTGCAGACCTTTCAACAAACCTCTACGCCATCTGCTTGAACGACATCCGCACCATGGCTGTGACAGGCAATCCTCTTGCAGACTTCAATAACCCGTTGAAAGACTCTGACACATTTGTAGTCAGAGTTCCCCATTGTCTGCCACCATCCGCATGCAACGTCCACTTTTCAGGGTCATGTCGCATTAACCAACGATAGGCTTCCTCGTCTTCTTGCCTGATATATTCCATGTGCAGCCGGAATTTATGCTGTTGGTGGTCTGTTGCTGCCATCCACATCAAATCATGGAGATCCTTGTTGGGATATGCCTTCTGGAAATTGGCTTTAAGGCGCCTAACACAGTAACGATAGTAGGCATAAGGTTCTTGCCATGCAGGTAAATGCTCCACAGAACTTAAGATACCACCGTGCCGATCGGATATTAGACAAATGCCGGAACACTGTTTGACAACATGCTCTTCAAGTGGTTCAAAAACAGCGTCCACGTCTCTTGGCTTTCATTGGCACAAATAGCAAAAGCTAGAGGAAATATCTGTCCATTAGCATCTACTGCCACGACTATCAACAGCTTGATATCGTACTTTCCATAGACATGAGTGCCGTCTATGGATATTACGGGCCGACAATGCGAAAAACCATCAATTGCTGGTTTAAACGCCCAGAACACGTAATTGAATATATATTCTGGTTTACCTGCACTACGCTCAAGCTTCCATTCAACAACCGTGCCGGGGTTAAAATGCTGCAGTGCAGCCATGTACCTAGGGAGATCTGGGAATGACTTATCCCAGTTACCATACACTATTTCAAATGCTCTTTTGCGCCCGAGATATGCCTTTCTTTTAGTAATTGTATGGCCATATTCCTGGTGGACTACTGTAATGCACTCTTTGATTTTATACCTTATGGACGCTTCGATGTGTGGAATAAGAACAAGAGAAATCAAGTCAATATCCAAGTTGAAATGATTCCCGTTTGTGTCCATTTCGCATGTGTGGGTGGGAATGTATTTACCCACTTTCCACAGACCTGACTTCTTCTTCATCGCACGCAACATCCAATGACATGGCCAAAACCACCCTCGACAAACAACGTTGTATACAACCGGACTTGACTCCCATGCCGTCATCTCACGACACTCTTTTACGTTGTGCATTTTACAAGCCCTGCTTAGGCGTGCTTTATCAGGAAAAAGCATGCCCTTTGCCAGCACCGTTGGTCTAGACTCATCCCACATTGCTGTCCGAATTTCATCAAAATCCCTTGTGAGAGCTTCCACATCCGGCATGTTTGGCAAGTTATCAAGGTAAGGAACCTCCCTAGAATGAAACGGCACTTGGGACTCATACACTCTTCGTCTAGGGGGGGGGGCGGGGGTGGAGCATACTCTCTCGTCAAATCAGGTCCTTCCTTCTCATCCTCCTCATCACCATCCTCACGATCAAAGGGTGTCTCGTCTCCAGATTCATCAGCATTATTGTCGTAATCAGTGTTCTCTTCCTCACTCTGTGTATCTGCCAGATCCCGATTTAATACGTCGTCTTCGGGCAATTGAGTGAGTACATTTGCTTCAACTTGCTCGTTTTCATAATTGACTGAGTACATATGCTCGGGTTCATAATTTGTAAAATTCATATCCGGCATGTACCCCCTGTTAAATATATGAGCGTTAATACAAATTGAATACAACAAAAATGTACATCGTAACACAAAAGAAAATTGAAGCTTACCACTCCTCTTGTGAATCATGTACTGCAGGCGGGGATAAGTTTAAATCAAGGAAAACTCTTTCATCCGGAACCTGTCCGGCAAAAACTCCTCCAGAATAGACAGCCAATGACTGTGGGTTATCCGGAACCTGTCCGGCGACCTCATTGTTTGGAACGTCTTCGACCTTGATGTACATATCCAACATATTTATTACAAGATATTTCCGGAATTCATCCGAAGTCCTCAGAAAATCCCTCAAAGTTTCATCATCGTAGATGTTTAACTCCGAGTAAAAAGCAGCCCCTTGCGGTCCGAGTAAAAAGTATCACTGAACGTTTCCTCACACCCATTTTTTTGCATAACAACGATATCAATTTATCGTACTCTAGTGTAAGCGGTAATTTAACATGACCCTGTGGAGATAAACTATACCTCACAGAGTTATTCTCCGTCACAACATCATCCCCCCCCCCCTCCCCCCAATATAATGAAACTCTTATTCTACGCTCTTCAGACATTACGAAAAAAATGATTCAAAATTTAACAACAAGAAAATATTGAAGAGAGTTAGAATTGTATGTGAACGAATTTTTCTAAGGTTTTAACTGCTTTATATAGGAAATGGGTAGCCCGGGGTATTGAAATTTTTTTACCATATAGCGTCTTCTAAACACACGCTATATATTTAAATTATTGTGTCTGTCAGTTCACTTATTGGTGGGCCCTAAATTCAGTGCATATCATTTTTTTTGCACGCTATATATAGCGTATAACAATAAAACGCTATACCTTAACGGCAGACGTTACCGTTAAGGTATAGCGTACTGCTGTCATACGCTATATATATTTATGTCTCTTTTTTTTAAAACACCTATTAAGGTGTTTCGAGTCCAAAAACATAATATTTAGGTTCCGGACTCGTGTAAAATGTGTTTACGTAAAAGTAGAATCTAAAGCTGAAATAGATAGATTGAACTTACATGTATTTTATTTTTCTTTAAGTTGTGGAAGGTGATTACACAATGTATTTCCTCAGAAAACTCTGGTATTATTATTTTAAAAACATGACATGCATCCCAGTTATGCTTTGACTTTCAAAACTCTAAGTGCCCCACCACATTATTCCCCCTTCCCCTCCATATATATACCTTTAAAATCCTGTGTCAAATTAAGCTTAAATCTGATATCAAGGAATCTTTCTTAAAAAGATGGACAAGAAGATAATATTACTGTCTTTCTTGTGCATTAATCTTCAGCTAGCAATTGTATCAGCTCAACTTCAAGTTGGTTTTTATAATACTAAAGCTAGATGTCCACGAGCAGAAACCATAGTTCGAGATACGGTGCGAAGCCGCTTCTTTGCGGATCGTTCCATCACGGCGGCATTGTTGCGGATGTATTTTCATGACTGCTTCGTCAGGGTGAGAAATTTTTATTCTTATTACCATTACAATTTAACAAATTATACTCTCCTCGATAAGCGAAATGTGTGTGAGTATTTTCAAAGTTAAACTAGTACATCGATCACATGCATATATAGCTTTGGATTCTCATTAATGGAAATATGCTTTTCAGGGTTGCGATGCTTCAATATTGATAGACTCCAAAAACACAAAGAACAAAAAGTCAGAAAAAAATGCAGGAGCAAATGGGTCAGTACGAGGATACGAGCTGATTGATCAGATAAAGAGTAAATTAGAGGCTACATGTGCTATGACAGTATCTTGTGCAGACATCATTGCATTAGCCACCCGAGATGCAGTTGCATTAGCCGGAGGACCGAGCTACAGCATTCCCACCGGTAGGCGCGATGGGCTAGTGTCAGACCCATCACAGGTGAACTTGCCGGGCCCTAGTGTAACGGTGCCACAAGCATTTCAATTTTTCAAAAACAAAGGGTTTACTATAAAAGACATGGTGACTCTCTTAGGTGGCCACACCGTGGGAATTACACATTGTAGTTTGTTTAAAGGCGATAGGCTATCAAGGGCAGATGGGAGCATGGATACTAACTTGTTTAACCGTCTTAGAAAGACATGTTCTTCTAGAGGTGACCCATCTGTTTTCTTGGACCAAAACACTTCATTTGTTGTCGATAATTCCTTTTACAAACAGCTAAGGTTGAAGAAAGGGATATTGAAGGTCGATCAGTTACTTGCATCTGACAAATCAACTGCTGGGATTGTGTCGAATTTTGCCGCTAATCCAAGAGCCTTCCAACAAGCTTTTGCAAATGCATTGATCAAGTTAGGTAACACTCAAGTTCTAACAGGGAAATCAGGAGAAATCAGAAGAAATTGTAGAGCCTTTAATCCTCCTCCTCCCCCCAAGATCGTAAAGAGTCCTCCTCCCCCACCACCCAAACTTTCCGTTCATCCTCCTCCCCCACCACCTAAGGTTTCATTTCCTCCACCATCACCACTACTTAAAGTATTGACTCCTCCTCCTCCCCCACCACCTAAGGTTTCATTTCCTCCACCATCACCACTACTTAAAGTATTGACTCCTCCTCCTCCCCCTCCACCTAAGGTTTCAATTCCTCCACCATCACCACCACCTAAAGTCTTGACTCCTCCTCCTCCTTCTTCTTCTTCTCCTCCTCCTCCTCCTCCTCCTCCTTCTTCTCCTCCTCCTTCAGCTGTTAATAGTTCGCCGCTACTTGTGACTGCTCCAGCAGCTTAACATGGCTCTCTTTCCACCCAAGTTTTATTCTCTTCACACTGTTGTCAACCTTCAGTGTATTTCCTCAAATTTGTGCATGTACGTCCCTTCCTTGATTTAATTGTTGTTGAATTTATTTTTAATATTGTTTATTTGTAATTCCTCTTATTAGAGGAAAAAAAGAAATCAAATGCTTTCGTTTTGTTATTGCGGACTGGCTACGTTTGTTTATTTAACAAGTGAATTTACTCGTCCTTCGCATGGTGGTTGAAAAAAATCGATTTCATGTTGTAGCAATTCCTTAGGGAATATAAGATTTTACTGGCTGATCTTGAACCTTCATCCAAATATGAATACTTTCGCTGCGAGAATTTCCTGAAAGAGAAAGTTAAAGAGGACTATATATAGCTTCAATTTACTATTTAAACAGAAAAAATTTAATCGTAAAAATATCAATGATGAATTTACAAAGTCTCAAAAACATCAATAAATTTACAAAATAGATTATTAGCAACTAATAACGAATTAGGTATTATTCTCACTTTACTATGAGAAGGAAACGCTGATAAGTAGCTTATATTTGGCTTAATTCATAAATTTTGTTTATTTATTTAGAACACTTATATGTAGTGTATAGCTAATGGTAAGGCATTATAGAATGTTATTTTATGTCGAACACATTAACACATTATAACTTAAAACACTCTACAAACTGTTAATGCCTAGATTGATAGTATCTTTTTAAATACCTCCCAAATGATCAATTGAATATAATGTTTAAATTTCTTGGAATAAACTTCATACAATGCATGTCAAGCTTTAATTTAAGACGATGGTGGTAGAGCCCTCGTTCCTTTTTTTCAATGACAAACTGCTAGCCTTGTTCTGATCTCTGGGGTCATTCTTCTTTTCTCCTCCTTAACTAATTTTGGTTTCTTCTTCATTTTTTCCTCTTAACACCAAAATAAAAAAGAAACAAATCTATAAGAGTATTAACAACAAACAACAACAACATTAAGTCCAGTAGTTTTTCGCAAAGAGGGTAAGATGTACGCAACCTTACTCCTATCCTAAAAGGGCAGAGAGACTGTTTCCGATAGACTATAAGAGTTTTATAAATGAAAATTTAAAAAATTGAGAATTTGAGAAAAAAAATTTAAAATGTTGGAGAGAGACGTATTTCCTTCACCCATTTGAAGGGAATTTAAAGAGTAGTGAGGGTTAGAAGAAGATAGAATTTAGACAAACAAATAAGAAATATGAAAACTGAAAATAGTTAAAACATAAATGCATAAAAATTTCTTCCAAGAATTTTTTGTACCTATGTGTAGAGTAAAGCAAGATTTCCACTATCAATGCGAAGGATTATAGCAAATAAGAGCAGATACAAGAAGACACGTGGCAGCGGGGAGATGATAGTTAATAAGAGATCGACGACCTAGAAGCTTTAGATCCAACGGTGCAGAAAATTAGAGGTAGTTAGAATGTTGGGCCGCTTATAACTGAATTGGATTTGGCTCAACAGAATCAATTTTGGGACCGTACCGATATTCTTTCTTCATTCTCAATTCTCTCTCATGTTCATTCTCTTCTCTATTCTCTTACTCTTCCTCTCTCTTATCATTTTAATTCTTCTTTCAAGTTTGAATTCATCAATGGAGCTTGCAGATTAATTCAGTTCAATTTTGTAATTTTCATTGTATCTGAGTCGACGAGATAAATAAAAAATTTTTGTTCGTTCATTTCTTAAATAACTTCATAGTTTACATTTCAATTTGGAAAGTCCATTAATGTTTGTAACGACATATCCTGATCAGGTTCAACGCGCACAAAATAGTATTACAGCCAGGACATATATATGGTGGAATTGCTAGCCGAGTTGCAATCATTCCAATGCAAGATGTAATGAGGCACCAATAGTTTTCTTGAGCCACCAATAATGTGAGTTCAACAATATACATATGAACAAAAGGAAAGAAAGAGGAATCTCATTAAAAAAATACAAAGCAAGAGTGGTTGAAGATTAAAGGGTAAAAAAGGACATTTACTCTATAAAATCATCAATTAATAACTGGATCTTAAGATAGCATGAATAGAATATCTTGGGCAATACCATAAATTTGGAATGCAATGGAATCTCAATACTCTAGAACAGAGAAAAATGAGCAAGATTTGTAATATCAGCCCCAATTCCAAACAAGGAGGCAGGAAATTGTATGTTCATCAAGATTGAGTTCACTTGCAAACCCAATAAACAAAGAAAAACCCCGACATTCATTCATTAACATGTCACTAATTTACTGGACTCATTAGTCCATGGAGCAATTGTCCTACTTACATACATTAAGCTCAAAATCAGTCTCAAGATAGAGCTCATCCTCTAAGCATAACATTTTGAATGAAATATAATATTCACCTGATTTAAACGATGTGAGCACTTAATTTTTGCCATACTAGAATACTTTATCTGATTCGAACGGTGTGAGCACTTAATTTTTTACCATACTAGAACATTTTACTGCTTTTTAGTATGTAAATATTTTTTAAGTTTATTTTTGATATTTTTAGCTTTTGTTTTATCTTTTTATAAGTTTTACCTAAGAAAATTAAAAAATAAAAAGAAGATAAAAATATTTATATTTTTAGAGTATAAGTTTTGTTCAAAATTGTAAAAAAAAGAAAAATGCACAAAAACAATATATTTTCTTCTAAATTTGACAAGCTAGTATTTTGAAATTTTCTTTAACAGTTCCTTATATTTTGTCTAGTTCAAAATGTTAACTATTTCTTTTTATTTAATTTTGTCTTCTAGTTGATCTTTCTTCATTGTTATCCAATTTTCATACACTCATGGACATAATTTACATACACTTGCACACATATGGGGTGTGTTTGGTACGAAGGAAAATGTTTTTCGTGGAAAATATTTTCTTAGAAAATGTTTTCATGAAAAATGAGTGATTTTATCAGTTATTTTCCTATGTTTGGTTGGTAAGTGGAAAATTTCTCCACAAAATATTTTTTAGTGTATGGTTAAAGTATAGAAAATATTTTCTTAATTTTTTTTTTCTATGCTACTCTCCTCACTCCTTTTTCCAAGTCCCCATGTATCATTGCCCCCCCCCCCCCCAAACACCCAACATTTTTAGGACTTTATTTTTATTTTTTCGAGAATTTAATTATTCTTCTAAGAATTCGCACAAACCAAAAAGACTAATGTGTTGCTTTATTTTTTTTACGCAAAAATAACGTTGAAATTTGTGCTCCATAACTAAAAAGAAAATACTCTTTTTTTCGTTGAAAAAGAAAGTACTCTTTCTACAACATGAAATAAAGTACTCATTTTATTGGAATGACAAAAATACTTTTTTTACATCATGAAAAGAAAATACTTTTTTAGTTGAAATGAAAGAAAATACTTTTTATTACACCATTTTATTGAAATGAAAGAAAATACTTTTTCTGCATCATAAAAAGAAAGTAATTTTTTGTTAAAATTAATTTTTTTATATCATGAAAAGAGAATACTCATTTGTTGAAATGAAAAAAAATCTATCTATAACATGAAAAGAAAGTACTATTAATGATTTTTTTATTTAGGATGGGGTGGGGGATGGGGCGAGGGTGGGGTGGGGTAGGGTAGGGTATGTGGGTGGGTTCGTGGGGGTTGGAAGGGATGGGGAATAGGGTGGGGAAGGCTGCAAAAGAGTTTTGAAAAATGTTTTCCCTTAATAGGGAAAATATTTTCCTCCACTTGGAGTAAAATGAGTTAATAAGAAAAATATTTTTCAAAATATTTAAACCAACCAAACATGGAAAAATTGAAAAATATTTTTTGGGAAATGTTCCTACCAAACACACCCATGATCACATCCTTTTTTCCCTATCCAGAAGAATATTCGCTCCACTCTTTTATCCATTTTGTAGTCTCTCTTCAAGAAAAAAGGGGTTAGCCAAAGGGGAGGAGGGGGGACGAAAAGTGAAAAGAATTGGGGGCAAACAATAAAAGGAATGAGGAGCAACCGCTACATTTCTTGAACGGCTACTGCCTACATAACCCCTCTCCCTTTTTTCAAAGGCACTACAAAAAGAACAAAAAAGGGGAAAAACTAAAAGAGGGAAAAGAGGAAAGGGACCTAGAAGCTAAAGAAGGGGGCTTGCTCTAGTTCAAAAAGAAAGACATCGGCGGAGATTCTATTTGTGGTCTGAGTCGAGCTTGCTCGAGTTTGTCACTGTTTGAGGTTCCTGCTTAGGTCGTGGTTCGGCTTCATCGATCTAATTCAGTCATCGAAACTTGTTGTCTTTCTTATTATTTACCCTAAATAACTATTAAACTTATAATGTGGTTTTAATAATATGTGAATTCACCTAGTATCAATTGACAAATACAAAAAGTAATAATAGAAATTAACAATAATATAAAGCGAACCAGCTTCTGAACAGAACTTAGCCCTCGAGCTTGAATGCCCTCGAGCTAGTTACGCAAGAACAATTAAAATGCAACAAACTAATAAACAAGAGAATGTAAATTAATGAGAGAATATTGTATTGCTTTGATCCGTGTGAATGTAAGGTGTTTACAAGATGATTAGGATCCCCCTTTATATAGTAGAGGAATCCTATTTGTGGTACAATTCTATTCCGAAAGTAAATCCCACGAATAATTAGATAACCGCCACTGATTTGATCTGTTCCGATATTTACGCCACGATCTCCGGCCTGTCACGGATATATCGCTTTTCCGTTATTGCGCTTTGCTCGAAGTCTGTTGTATTTGGTCTCGATCGTTGCTGGCCTCGATCTCGACAGGCACCTCGATCCTTGGACTCGATACCTCATCTTCGTGTTCTGGTGTGATCCATTACGAGGCTAACCCTCGATGCAGTCCCCTGTCTCGATCAAATAGCACAATTGGGTAGGCCCGGTTTTAACCGTATATAGATAGTCCCCTTGTTTCTTGTAATGTAATGAGAAGAAACGAATTGAGCCTTTGATTTTGTACCTCGATCTATCATGACGTCATCCTCGTGACGTAAGCGACCGAAACGTCCCATCGGTACAGTTCCCAAAATCACTAATGAGTGTCAATTGGCGGTCGGTCACCAGTGCCTTTGAACCATTGCCGTGAATCCTTAAATAGGTCACTTCCTCAAATTTTACTTTGAATTTTTCTTGTACTAATCTTCAAAAATCCCTTTGAGTTCTTCAAGCCTA